TCCTTGCAACCCCGCTGCCAGGGAAAGAAAGAAATCCTGTAGCTGTCCCTGCAACCCGGCTGCAAGGGAAAGAAAGAAATCCCCCAGGGCCAGGCCGGGCTTTGGCGCAGGATGAGCAGACAATAGCTGCAGCCAGCCACTGCCCTGTCCCCTGCTCCCGGCTGCCTTGGCGGGCCCCCGGGCGGCGGGGAAACTCTCGGGCCGGGCCGGCCCGGCCAGCCCCCCACGCCACAGAGCCCGAGATTTCCTCAGCGGCTGGCCGGGGGAATCCAAACAGCAGGCCCTAAACATCAAATGAGCCTAAAAATAGTATAATCTAGCTGGACAGGCAATTGTTGGTGGGTAGGGGGGGCAGAAAGGGATGAATGGAACGGGTGACTCATTTCTGTATTTACAGTGTCGGGTAGTAAACTGAATTATCCATGCAAAATTACTGGAGGATGTAGGGGGTGTCTGTGCCTGTGCGCGTGTGGGAGAATGACAACAATTCAGGCAAATCTCTGCGCCTTTGTCTAGCAGCTGCGGAGCCAGCCGAGGCAGCGGGGCGGGGGAGACGCAAGATGTGAGAGGGTGGGACAGGCCTTGTGAAAGCCTGGATTGGGTGTGTGGAAATCAGCTTAATTTCTACTGCTTCTGGGCCATCCGTATGAAAACCGTTCAGTGTATTGCTCCTTGCTCCCTGCCCTCCAGCAGTGTATCTGATGTGAGCGTGATTGCTGATGAATTAAAAGCTATGGCTCATAAGCAGTATTAATATATGCAAGGAGAATTGTAAATACATTTCAATAAACACCCTGGGGATGCTGTGTCCTCTGTTTCATGGCTATGCTCTTCCCCCTTAGCTAGCCAGTTTTCATAAAATTTCCAGAGCCGTAATCTCACAGGAGAAAATCTTGTCCCCATTGCATCCCCAATAATACTTCCTGCAATGAGCCAGGATTTCCAGTCGGCCCAGAGTCTTCTTAAAGCAGAGTTTGTGGTGTGGTGTATGAAGTCTGCTTTTCTCCCTCAGTTTATGAGCACCTCCAAAACTGAGATTAACAAGATATATTGCTGAGAGAGATGATAGGAACTGTCATCCTATCTGTGAACCGGGAGCTATGTGGAGCTGAAGGCCAAAGGAATCACTTAGGAAAGAAACGGCAAGGTTCATATCATATCATTTAGGAATATTTATAGATTTTCATAATAACAGCATTAAAGGGATTCTAGAGGGATCTTCAGTACTGGATACCTGCTAACTTTACTATCGTGAGCAAGTTCTCTAAGATGAGTTTATTACAAAGTTTACTATTTCGACACTTGTGAGCATTGAACCTTGTGACTGCAAATTGTGAAATTTCTCTAATTATCAGTTCATCAGCATGCCTGATAATACTATAGCCTCAGACTTCCCTGTCTTGAAGATTTTTTGACCTCTTAAGTGATGATAGGAAATTTAATATACGTATTCTTTAGAATTTTTCTCCTGTCGGGCCCCTGCTATCACTCATGAACGTGCCTGAAGAAATCAGGATTCCCCTGAGCCGAGTGTGGTGCCTGCACTCTTGAAATTAAAGACCAGTGACAGTTTGCAGTTTGCAGGACTGGAGTCCGATTGGTCAGAAGTAGCTTGTCCGGTGGCGGTCCTGCCTTCTTCCACTTCTGCTCGTTTTGGGACAGATTCACGGCTCCCTTGAATCAGAGTAACCCATGAATTTAAATGGAGCTTTGCTGCTTTCTGTGAAGCAGGCCCCTCTAATAAGCTTAGGTTCAGTTACAGTACTGAGAGACAAAGACAAATAAAGGCTTTACACTTCTGCTTCTTCTCTGCTTTCCTATATCCCTTTTCTCATGGATTAATGCTGATAGTCACAGTTTCATCTTAAATAGAAAAATCATATGCACTTTACTACATATATGAGGACAATACTGTCCCATGAAAGCACATGAGGGTTTTACATTTCAGTGGCAGGACATAAGCTAATTGCTGTAAAAATAAATCCTTTTTTATGGCATTTTTATTGCACATCCATGTCCTTTTATGTTTGCTTCTTTTTGCTGCTATTCGGAGAATGTGAGGTAGATGCTTGTTCATACAAGACTGTCCCACGTCAAAAAGACTTTCGGGGATAACAAACTCCAAAGTGCACTTGGATGTTGCAAAGCTGACATCCTCAGTAAACTTCCTAGGCCGCATTATGTAAAGGATAACTGGCTTAGGAATTCTTATTTTAGATATTGATGAGCTTTTATGGCTTTTATTGCTTTTTTTTTTTGTCATCAGTCCCTGATCATGATTATTTAAAAAAAATTCAGTCTGTACGTATTCAGTGATGTAGTACCCCTTTAGACATGCATTCTCTTTAGCCATTTGCATGTTAAAGGAGTGTACTTTTCACCACATTGCTGATCTCATTTGCTAGAAGGAAATTGGACTCTTACAATGTAGTTTGCAACTACAGTGAGGGCATGAACTATATCAAGGCTGCGAGTTCTTTCTTGCATTCTAGGAAATTCACATGGTAGGAAATGCAGTAGGTGGTCAGCCATAGTTCTTATGTCTCATTTTGTATGTTCATGTTTGAAGCCTTGTAAAAAAGATCAGCGCCCCTTTTCCATATAAGTATATACGGTCCCCATTTGTGAAACTATGAGGCTGAGATGATAGAGGACTTGCCCAAAGCTATGCAACGGGAGCTTAAATCAGATATCCACTGATGTCAATAAAAGCATCTATATCTAAAATTGACTTCAGTGGGCTTTGGCCTGAGCTCTGCTGAGTGTCTTAAAACATGAGCAGGAGCACAAACTTTCTAACCTTGTGCTAATTTTGCTGTACTGTGTCTACATTTATTAAACAAAACTGAAAAGTAATTATATCACAAAAGGAGGACATGAAATATCTATGTGATAAAGCACCAGAGATTAATTCCCATATCAGTTTATTATTCATAATGGAAAAAGGGATCACTGGCACATTAGATGACTGGATAGATAAAAATAGATGCTGTACGTAGATTTCTCCATCATATGGAAAATAAATTAAAGGAAGAAGAGCTAAAAGGTTGTTTCAGATTTCACTTTCACATGTGAAATCTTATTCTCACATGCTCGAGCCTCTGAGAGACACTGCTTTTCTCTAGCACAGTATACTGTTAGAGGAAACATGAGCTGGGAGTGCAAAATGAAGAGACAATCACTTTTTTTGGTAGTTTCTTCCTGCACTATCTAGCTGCCAACAGTACAAGAGCGTTTATTGGGGCATCAGCATTTTGGTGTTCGGTTGCTTGTTAGGGCGCACCATTTGTTTTGTATTACATTCCGCCATGCTCTATTGATAAGAGGAAGACAAAAGTAATTCATGGAGCAATGTGTTTAAAGGGAGAGTCTTCCCCCCCCCACCCCCCAAGCTTAATTTCAGAAAAGCAACTGCATAATGCCTGTTCTATGCAGACAGATACTGGCGCTAATTGGCTTTA